GACTAATTCATATTTCCCTTTGAAGTTTCAGAGGTAGATATATTGACAATTTTATCCTCTTCTTGGTTTGTGTTTTGATCTTTTCTGTCACCCTAATAATTCTGTTTCTTGCTCATGATGTTTGCCTGTTTTTTGGCTTTTAAAGTTGAGCTCTCCTGCTGAAGCACAGGGGACACTGTTCCAAACTTCTTGTGCTGGGGATCAGGGACCTGATAACTGGCTTTGTGTGCTGGGGCCTTAGGTGCTGGTAGCTAGGGGCTGTAGGAGTCTGGCAGCTTACCTGGTGCTGAGCTCAGATCCTAGTGGTGGTATCTGGCATTTGCTGAGGCCAGGTGGAATTTTTCTGCATTTACCTGGGACTGCACTGAAGCACAGACAAGGTCATCTGCTGGAGGAAGCCTGTTCACCTGGGGCTATGGTGAAGCAGGAAAAGGTGTGGTACTGGAGGGTACCTACGCACCCAGGACTGCACTGAAGTACTGTTGGAGTAAACCTGCCTGCCCAGGGCTACACTGGAACACAAGGAGGTCTAGCCACTGGAGGATGCTTACCCACCAGGGGCTGGGCTGAATTATATGGAGATCAGCTGCTAGGGGACACCTGCCTGCCTGGGGCTGCACCAGCACACATGGTGGCTCTCTGTGCTGGAGTCTACCAGTTTCCCTGACTATGCTAAAGCATAGGGGTGGGGGGTCTTGGTGTTGGTGTTGGTGTTTGCCTGTTCCACTGCACTGGGCTCAGGATCTCCCATTGGTATCCTGAGGAGGAGCTTGTCACTGACTTGCTTGGATACTTCTTGTCCTAGAATGTGATCCCCTTTTGCCTGAGTGAAACAGACCTTTCTTGCTGATCCTCCAAATTTCCCAGGCTAAAAGATTGCTCCACCTCATCTTTCTGCTGGGATTTTCCTGGGATACTATTTTCTGTTTTTTTTAAGAGGTCAAAAAGGAAGAGTGATAGTGACTTACTGCTTACTCAGCCATCTTGGCTCGCAGAAGTCCTCAGCCTGGAAGTCTTTAGGCAACAGAATTCAGGATTCTGATTGCATTATACCATGAATCTCAAAGGCTCAGAGATTATTGAGTGATGGAAGTGGGGAGAGAACCTAGAAACAGCAGTGGGGAGAAAGGAGTATTCCTGCTACCTCACCTGGACCAGTGAGCTGACAGAGACAAGTAAAGATATAGACAATAATGAAATACATGGTTAGAGAAGCCACGCAATTAGGGGGAGCCAGCTTACAGTAATTGTTACAAGATGGAAGGAGTAACTGAGGAATAAATTTACAATGAAGGAAAGCATGTTGTCTATGGAGCAGATGTTCCAGAGGATACAGTGCAAGTGGGGGTGGCATTAGATGAGATCTTTGGGGTGGAAAGATTAAGTTGATGGGAATAAAGAATGGAGTGATAGGGGGAAAGGATTTGGATGATGAGCTACAGGGAAGACCAAGCTACAGAGGCTTTGAAAAGATGCCTAATGATGTATCACATGAATCCCCCAGGATCAGTGTGTCTTAGGACTAGGAGGTTCACTACTAAAGGACTAGCAAAGAGAAAGTGAATTGTTTGGTCTGGAGTAACCCTCAAAGACCATGTAGCTAATCATGGAAGAATGATAATTCTATCTGTAGAGGAAACACTCCCAAGAGTGAAATTCTGAATATGAATGAAGTACTGGATAAGACAGAGAAAGGGACTGAATCTGTGTTTTCATCAGTATAGGGAACTTCCAGATCAGGAAACTCCCTCTACCAATGTAGATCTGCACTTTTTATTCAACTTAAAAGTATTAGAGTTCTTGTTAGAGTACAAAAAAGGTGGTAACTTATCCAGGGTCCCATAGCTGTACATGTCAGAGGTAAAATTTGAACCCAGGTCTTCTTGGCTTCAATTTGGCCTCTATGTCACTCTTCCTATCTTTTGTACAAAGGAATATAAATTCTTTATTGCAGTTTATGATACAAACATTTCACTTCTTTAGATAACAAAAACCCAGGAATCATTTTTGCCTTAGAAAGTACACTTTTGGGGGTGGAGCCAAGGTGGCAGAGGGAAAGCAGTGACTTGCTTGAGCTCTCCCCCAAACATCTCCAAATACCTATAAAAAATGGCTCTAAACAAATTCTAAAGCAGCAGAACCCACAAAAAGACTGAGTGAAACAAATTTCCAGCCCATGACAGCCTGGCTGGTTGATCAGAAAGGTATATTGCGCCAGGCGGGGAGAGGAGCGCAGTTCAGCATGGGCACACAGGCCACAGAGACCCTGGAGCAGACCTCAGAGGACTGAATTGCAGGCAGCTGTGGAGGTTTCCAGACTGCGCAACCCACAAATGCCAAAGACAACTTAGAAAGTCAGTGGGAAAAGTCTGTGCCTGTGGTGAGAGAGAGAAGCTAGGTTTCAGTTGCAAGTCCTGAGCACGGGCCGTGGTTGCTTCCAGCCCACAGACTGAGGGGGAATTGAGTGGCTGAAGAGGGGGATTGCAGGGATCTCTTTGCCAGTGCTGATGCAGGAATCTCTTGCTTTTTCCATGCTTGGATCTGGGTCACAGTTCTGAGGGACGGTCGTGGAGCAAGGAGGAGTGCTGGCGTGGTGGAGCTTGTTGTGACGATGGAGAGGAAACACCTCACGCCTTATAATACCACCTTGGAAGAACTGAAAAGTTACAGGTCCCTAGAATTAGCTATGAAAACAGCTGTACAAACCCCCGAAGCTTGGGACAATACATTCTCCACATTGGAGGCAGAGTCTTACCTTAACAAAGAGTTTAAAACTCAAGTAATTGGCCTGGATCACGAGTAAGCAGTGCAAAAAGAGTCAGACTATATTATCTTATTTTGGTGACAAAGAAGATCAACACATACAACCATAAGAAGACAACAAAGTCAAAGCTCCTACATCCAAAGCCTCCAAGAAAAAGATGAATCAGTCCCAGGCCTTGGAAGAGCTCAAAAGGGATTTTGAGAAGCAAATAAGAGAAGTAGAGGAAAAACTGGGAAGAGAAATGAGAGTGATGCAAGAAAATCATGAAAAACAAGTCAACAGCTTGCTAAGGGAGACCCCAAAAAAATACTGAAGAAAATAACACCTTAAAAAGTAGCCTAACCCAAATGGCAAAAGAGGTCCAAAATGCCAATGAGAAGAATGCCCTAAGAAGCAAAATTGGCCAAATGGAAAAGGAAGTCCAAAAGATTACTGAAGAAAATCCTTCCTTAAAAATTAGAATAGAGCAATTGGAAGCTAATGACTTTATGAGAAATCAAGACACTGTAAAACAAATCCAAAAGAATGAAAAATTAGAAAACAATGTGAAATATCTCCTTGGAAAAACAACTGACCTGGAAAATAGATCCAGGAGAGAGAATTTAAAAATTATTGGACTATCTGAAAGCCATGATAAAAAAAAAGAGCCTAGACATCATCTTTCATTGTCAAGGAAAACTGCCTTGATATTTTAGAACCAGAGGGTAAAATAGAAATTGAAAGAATTCATCGAACTCCTCCTGAAAGAGATCCCCAAAGGAAAACTCCTAGGAATATTGTAAACAAATTCCAGAGTTCCCAGGACAAGGAGAAAATATTACAAGCACCCAGAAAGAAACAATTCAAATATTGTGGAAACACAATCAGAATAACACAAGATCTAGCTGCTTCTACATTAAGGGACCACAGGGCATGGAATATAATATTCCAAAGGGCAAAGGAGATAGGATTACAACCAAGAATCACCTACCCAGTAAAACTGAGTATAATCCTTCAGGGGATAAAATGGTCATTCAGTGAAATAGAGGACTTTCAAGCATTCTTGATGAAAAGACCAGAGCTGAATAGAAAATTTGACTTTCAAATACAAGACTCAAGTGGAACATGAAGAGGTAAACAGGAAAGAGAAATCATAAGAGAGTTATTAAGGTTGAACTGTCTACATTCCTGCATGGAAAAATGATATTTGTAACTCATGAGACCTTTGCCAATATTAGGGTAGTTGGAGGGAAAGAATTATATGTATGTATATATAGATAGATAGATAGAGGGCACAGGGTGAGTTGTAGAAGAAGGGGTCATATCTGGAGAATAAAATTAAGGGGTAAGAGAGGATTATACTAGGAGAAGGAGAAAGGGAGAGGTAGAACAGGGTAAATTATCTCACAAAAAAAAACAGAAAAGAAAAGGCTCTTACAGTGGAGGGGAAATGGGGGAAGGTGAGAGGGAATGAGTGAATCTTATTCTCATAGGATTTGACTTAAGGAGGGAATAACATACACACTCATATGGGTATGGAAATTTGTCTTACCCTATAGGAAAATGGGGGGGAAGGGGACAAGGGAGTAGGGGGATGATAGAGAGGAGGGCAGATTGGGAAAAGGGGTAACCAGAAGCAAATTCTTCTGAGGAGGGACAGGGTCAAAAGAAAGAATAGAATAAATGGGGGAAGCAGGATAGCGTTAAGGGAAATTGAGTTAGTTTTTCACAGCATGTCTACTATGGAAGTGTTTTGCATAACTGGCCATGTATAAGCTATATTGAATTGCTTGCCTTTTCAATGATGGTGTATGGGGAGGGAGGAAGGGAGAAAATTTGGAACCCAAAGTTTTAAAAACATGTTTAAAAAAAATGTTTTCACATACAACTGGAAAATAAGAAATACTGGAAATGGGGTACAGAAATCTATCCTGCCCTACAGGAAAATAGAAGGGGAAGGGGATAAGAGAAGGGGGGGGAGATAGAAGGGAGGGCAGACTAGGGGAAGGGATATTCAGAATGCATGCCATCTTGGGGTGGGGGAGGGGCAAGATGGGGTGAAAATTTGGAACTCAAAATCTTGTGGAAGTAAATGTTGAAAACTAAAAATAAATAAATTTTTTAATTAAAAAAAGAAAGTATACTTTTTAAATGGAGTTTACTTTATTTAAAATTAAAACAAATATTCCATGCATTTCAAATTCTCCCATCTTCTATCCTCTTACTCTTCCATACCCCAAAGCTTCCTCACAGCTGGATTTTTTATTTATATTTTCTTTAATCAAATTAATGAGGCAACAAACAACAGAAGAGTGCCGAACGAGTACAGTGTCCTCTAAACAAATTGGGAGGCATACATCTGTGCATTGTACATATGCCGCCAATCATCCCACATGATCTGGAATCTTTTACCTTGCCATACGCTGTGAAAAGATTAAAAATATGTTTCAGAATCTTTTTGTAACTACTTAGAAAAAGAAATGTTCTATTGTCATCTGAATCATAGATTAGACGGTTTAGCCCTACACACAATATTCATTAATTGTATTTTTAAAAATTAACCTTCTAATAAATGAGGTGATATGGCATAATGAAAAATACCCAAGTCTTGGAAATAAGGAGAACTGGATTCCATTCTAGTGTGCTGACTTATTGACAGTGTCAATTTGTGAAATTTATCTCAGCTCATTGAACCTTTGTTTAATTATCTTTAAAATGGCAGTCATCATACTCACATTAATCTACCTTATAGGATTTTAATGATTATGAAATAGGGATAGAGACTGCACCTGTGTTTTCATTGGTATAGCACATGTATTTCTATGTCTCAATCCTGCTCAGTAAACTCTCTTGGCTCCTATTATTTCCAGACAAAGAACTGGATTTACAGTCAGGAAAGCCAGAATTCAAATCTGTCCTCAAACATTTACTAGCTGTGTGTTCCAGGATAAGTCATTTAACCTCAGTTTGCCTAAATTTCCATATATGTAAAATAGCACTTATAAAGTAGTTGTTATTATTATTTGTTCTTCCTTCTCTAAGAAGACCAGTGACATCATAAAGGTGATATCTTGACTTGCATGTAGATTAGATTTGCGACAGCTATTCAAAGTCATCAGCCTCATTCTCTCCTCCTGAGTCATCAAAGTCCAGTGGCAAGATAGAAATCAAAATAACTGTTGATGATCCAGGATGCAGTGGATTTTAGCCTTTCTAAATTAAGGCATGTCTTAGGCCTCAGTTTGACTGAAGCAATTCCAGTGTTCATAAAGAATCAGCATCACTAAATCAAGAAAAGGTCATGTCAAACTAACTCTACTTCATTTTTTTTATAAGACTAGCAAAATAGTTAAGGATAGAAATTCTATGGAGATAATTTACCAGGAACTTAATAAAACTTTTGCTATATTATTTCATAGTATTCTTCTGGAGAAGATGGAAAGATGTAGACCAAATGACAATATAATTAAAAGGATTCACAACTGGTTAGATTGCCAGATTCAGAATAGTTAATAATGGTTCAATATTAACATGGCAGGAGGTCTCAAGTAGAGTACCTCAGGGATCTTTGATTTGTCCTGAACTATTTAACATTTTTATCATTGACTCAGATAAAGGCAAAGATGATATTCTCATTAATTTTCAGATAATTTTCAGATATGGAGTGGTTCTTTGGGAAGTAAGAGGGAGACGGATGGAGAGCTAATTCACTAAGTGACAAATTCCAAAAATGTCTTTACAGACATTATGTAGCACTGGACTGAATCTAATAAATATGGAATACCTATAAGACCAAAAGCCATCCCCAAATATAGACAAGTTGTCAAAGAATATGAAGAAAGAATTCTCAAAAGAATTGCAAACTATCAATAACCATATGAAAGAATGCTCCAAATCACTAATAAGAAAAATGTAAATGAAAGCAACCCTGAGGTTTTAACTCATACCTCTGAAAATGTCAAAGATGACAAAAGATGGGAATAGTCAATGTTGGAGACATTGTAGAAAGGCAGTCACACTATTGCATTATTGGTGGAGCTGTGGCTAAACAAATTGTGGTATATGAATGTAATGGAATGTTATTATGCTATAAGAAATTACAAATATGATAAATTTAGAGAAGTGTGGAAATTCTTGAATCAGTTCAGAGTGAAGTAATATACAGAAGGATTACAATTATTTAAATAGAAAGAACAATCACAAAACAATTGAGAGAGAATGTAGAAAAATTATAAAGAAAAAGCCTGAATACAAAGAATAAATATAAAAAGACCTCCCCTTATTCTTTTGCAGAGATGAGGAGTCCATAGAGTATAAGACATCATATAAATTTTCAGATTTGAGGGAGAGGATGTATTGACCAGTTTTGCTAATTATTCTATATTTCTCATTGTTTCTTTAAAAATAATCTTTGTCGTATGCAGTGGTTCTTTGGGAAGAAACAGGGAGAGGGACACAGGAAAACATTTAGGTAATATAAAGATAAAAGAAATCAATAAGTTTTTATTTTTAATTCAAAATTTTTTTAAAATATGAAACACAATTTTGATTATTGGAAAATTTTTCACATGCCTGCACAAAATAAGCTTTACCAGTATATGATGGGAGAGACATTACTAGATAGCAGTTGTTCTGAAAAAAATAACTGGAAATTCTGAAAAATAACTGGAGGTCTCAGTGGATTGCAAGCTCAATAGAAGTCAGCAATGTAATGTGGAAGCCAAAACAGCAAATGTGATCTTGGGCTGTATAGAGTGATGAAGGATTCAAGAATGAAGTGAGAACATTATGTCATCTTGTTTAAACTTGATTAGGTGCCTACTACATTCCAGCCACTGTAAGTACTGGGGAAGAAGGTTCTCGGGTGCACATGGTAACTGCCTTCAAGTATTTGAAAGACTGTCATATTAAGGTTGAATTGGACTATTTATGTTTGTTCATGGAGGGCAGAACCAAGACCAATGGGCTGAAGTTACAAAGAGGAAAATTTCATCTCAATGGCATGAAAACTTTTTTTCTTTTTTAAAAAATTTTATTTAGTATTTCATTTTCCCCAGTTACATGCAAAAACAATTTTTATCTCTCCTGTAGGGTAAGATAGATTTCTAAACCCAGTGGAGTGTGTATATTATTCCCTTTCAGAGCCAATTCTGATGAGAATAAGGTTCACTCACTTACTCTCACCTTCTGCTTCTTCCCCTCCACAGTAAAAGCTTTTTCTTGCCTCTTCTGTGAGATAATTCAATGCATTCTACCTCTTCCTTTCGCTTTCTCCCATACATTCCTCTCTCAGCCTTTAATTTTATTTTTATTGGATATCATCCCATCACAATCAACTCATACATGTGCCCTCTGTCTATATACACTCCTTCTATCTGCCATAATAATGAGAAAGTTCTTATGAGTTACAAGTATCAGCTTCCCATGTAGGAATAAACAGTTTAACCTTATTAAGTCCTTTATGGTTTCCCTTTCTTGTTTATCTTTTTATGATTCTCTTGAGTCTTGTACTTGAAAATCAAATTTTCTGTTCAGCTCTGGTCTTTTCATCAAGAATGATTGAAAATCTTCTATTTCATTGAATATCCATTTTTCCCCAGAAGAATTATACTCCATTTTGCTGGGTAGGTGATTCTTGGGTGTAATCCTAGTTCCTTTGCCCTCCAGAATATCATATTCCAAGCCCTCCAGTCCTTGAATGTAGAAGCTGCTAAATCTTTTGTTATCCTGACTGCGGCTCCACAATACTTGAATTGTTTCTTTCTGGCTGCTTGTAATATTTTCTCTTTGATCTAGGAGGTCTGGAATTTAGCTATAATATTCCTGGGGGTTTTCATTTTGGGATCTCTTTCAGGAAATGATCGGGAGGTGGATTCTTTCCATTTCTATTTTACCCTCTTGTTCTAGAATATCAGGTCAGTTTTCCTTGATAATTGCTTGAAAGATGATAACTAAACTTTTTTTTTTAATCATGGCTTCCAGATAGGACTATAACTTTTAAATTATCTCTCCTGGATCTATTTTCCAGGTCAGTTGTTTTTTTTTTCCAATGAGACCCACATTGTCTTCTATTTTTTTTTCATTCTTTTGGTTTTGTTTTACTGTTTCTTGATTTCTCATAAAGTCATTAGCTTCCATTTGCTCAATTTTAATTTTTAAGGAATTATTTTCTTCAGTGAGCTTTTGTATCTCCTTTTCCATTTGGCCAGTTCTGCTTTTTAAGGTATTCCTCTCCTCATTGGATTTTTGTACCTCTCTTACCATTTGGCCTAGTCTGTTATTTAAGGTGTTATTTTCTTCAGTATATTTTTGTCTCCTTTACCAAGCTGTTGACTCATTTCTCATGATTTTCTTGAATCATTCTCATTTCTCTTCCCAATTTTTCCTCTACCTTGCTTTCTTGATTTTCAAAGTCCTTTTTAAGCTCTTCCATGGCCTGAGACCAATTCATATTTTTCTTGGAGGCTTTGGATTTCAGAGCTTTGACTCTGTTATCTTCTTCTAAGTGTGTGTTTTCCTCTTTCTTGTCACCACAGTAACTTTTTATGGTCAGAATTTTTTTCTGTTGTTTGCTCATTTTCACTTGATTTTTAATGCTTTGTTAAAGTAGGGCTCTGCTTCCAGGCTGGAGGGCACAGTGTCCCAAGCTTCAGGAGTTTTGTGCAGCTGTTTTCAGAGATACATCTAGGAACCTTTAAATTTTCAGTTCTTCCAAGGTGGTATGATCTAAGAACAGCTGTTTACTCCTCTCCTGGCCTATGCTCTGGTCTTTAAGTGACCACAAGAACTCTTTTCTGCCCTAGAACTGTGATAAGGGCCCCCTCTCCACTGTGCCTTCAAGCTCTAGTGTGCTAGTGCTCTTCCTCACCCTTGGACTGCCACCCAGGACTACAACCTGGATCTGAGTATGGGCGAAGCAATAGAGACCTGCCTCAGTGCTAGCAAAAAGACCAGTGTGATTTCCTTCTGACCAGTTGTTTGACCACTTTACCATCCACCAGTGGCTCCCAAGGCCTGCTCCTGTTTTGCTCAGGCTGGAACTGGTCTAGAGCAGCCTGTGCTGGATTGTGCTTTACTCTCACCCAGGTGTGACAGACTTCTCCTGCTGACCTTCCAAGTTAACTTTTGCTGCTGTGGGTTGGGGGATCTAAAAACCTCTGCTGCTGCCACTGATTTAGTCACCCAAGACCTGTTCCTGGTTTGCTAGCACCCAGTCTGTGCTGGCATGGCCTGTACTGGACTAGGTTGCTCTTTTACTTTGGTGCAACAGACCATTCCTGCTGACCTTCCAAGTTGTCTTGGGCTGGAAAGTTGTTTCACTCCATCATTTTGTGGATTTTGCTGCTCTAGTATTTGTTTAGAGTTGTTATTTAAAGGTATTTTGAAGGTTTGGGGAGAGCTTAGGCAAGTCCCTGCCTTTGTTCTGCCATCTTGGCTCTGCTTCCAGGAAAACCTTCTCAACAATGAGAGCTGTGATAGTCTTCATTCGCCTAGGAGGTTTTCAATTGGCACTGAACAACAAATTTTGGCTATATTTTAGTGGTAACTCCTTTTGTATTTAAGCTGGGCTTGATAGATATTGGAGTCCCTGCCACCAACTCATAAATTTTGTGATTCTATGTAGTTGTTAGTGTGACCATGCTTTGTCTGGATCCACCAACCATTGCTGAAGTGTCAACACTGATTGGAACCAACTCCCATCCCTTTAAATACTAGCAGAAAATTACAAATTAGAACCTGCAACTCCAGACCTTCACACTTTGACTATTGTAGTATGGTAGAGGTGAGTGAGAATGTCACGAGAGCACTGGATCTCCAAACTTGGAAGTGGATGCTCTGAAATTTGACTCTTTGACATCAGAAAAATAAATGGATACATTGAAGCAGAACCTGGGCCTGAGGATAGGTACATCTTCATCATATGAGTAGAATGTGGGATGAGCTATTCACACTCCAGGAAGTTCCAGGGATAATCTAGGAATATTATCTTATCTATGAGGGGAGACCTCAGATATCCACCAAAAGAATTATTGGCCAACAGCATCATTACAGGCTCTAGAAGCCTGTATGCACCACCTACGTTATTGGTATGGAAGAAGAATGGAAGATAAGAATGGATATAGATCACAAGACCTTGAGCAATATAGAAAAAGCAGATCAATGTACCATGAAATATATCATATTAGAGATAGCCTACCACATCCTCTCCTGACTTCTCATGATATTGAAGAGTTATTTTAAATACATAAAAATCTCTCAAACACATAACATCTCCCCTCTTCCCAGACCTTACTCCTCCTGGAATAAATGTAGCATTTGTCTACCTAATAATATCTTTTCTTCTAATGAGCTCCTTAGGCTCAGTGGATGCAGCTTTTCCTTTTAATTTCTTTAGAGGTAGAAAGGTCCCAACCATAGTCCCAGGGTCAACAGGGACTGCCATCAGACAACTGATGAAGGCCAAGAAGGAGCTCATCCTCCGTATCCATATGCCCCCCCTCTTTGATATTCAACCCACATCTTACTTCTGCCAATAGAGGAGAAGATCACAAAGACCACCACAAACATCAGATAGAGGATCCTCATGGTGACCAGTTGAGTGAAACCTGGGAAATATAAGAGAGGTGAGAGAAGGCCAGTTAAGGAGAGTGAAGCCAGACCAGGCTGAGCCAGTTTCAGCTTACCTTGATTGCATTCACTTCAGCTCCTACACACTTGAAGCTGACAGAAGAAAGTTTCTCAAGATCCTGGAGTGCCTCCTCTATTTATATGGCTAGGAGATTACTCAACAAGGGACATTGAGATGACAAAAGGAAGTACTGCTATGTATATTGAAATTCTAAACAACTCCACATATTATGTAACCAGAAAAGAGTCCAAGTCATGTGGGCTCCTTTACTTCCCTCTTCCCTCAAGTGGGTTGGGATGGGGAGGTCCAAGTTGAATGTTTTTGTTCAGGCAGCTTTTGTCACAGGCAGCTTCTTCCTGCAGGGAAGGATCTGAGCCAGACTTTCCCATGAAAGCATTGAGGTGTCTCTCAACTTGTGTCCCTAAAGAGCCCAGGGATAATCTCACCCATCCACAAGAATGGAGGTAAAATATTTTGAAAGTCTGACTGAAAAGAAAATTGTACATTGATTTGAAGCTACGTTAGGGAGCCTAATGCTGAAAAGTGATTCCCCTAATAAGGGATTGGTCTTGATTTAAAAAGAACCTGCAGCCACAGATCCAGTTTCTCCTCTCTCTAGGTTACACAATCAATAATCAGCAATCTGTGCCAATTTTAGAGTAAATGCATAACACCTTTCACCAAAGAGGAATGAGTAAAGAAGGGATGAACCACAGAAAGAAGAAAGAGTTCTGAGAGAATATTTAGCATATGCAAGTGGCAGCACTTATGAGAATGAGCAAACCTTGCTTTTTCAAGGGCAGCAAAGAAGTGGTGATGGAATACTTTTTGAAAAGGTGAAGAAGTCTATTTGATCTAAGATGTCAAGGTTGGGGTAATCATTAGGAGAAAGCTGTCAGTGTCTCTTTTCCAAGGACAACCAAACCTTTGCACCATCAGTTTTACAATATCCTTATAGAGTTTTTAGTATTTTATTTCTCCTTGAGAGGTAAGTTTGTCTCCTGATATCTTCTTTACTGAAGCTAATTTTGAAACTTTTCTTAGCCGGAGGGTTAGGTCTGTGAAAGTCTTCCTGGATCTCTTTTGTTCTCCTCTGGGTGAACCAGATCTGGAACCTCAATTAAGAAATACTACTTACCTTCTGTCAGTCAATCAATTAAGTATTTACATGCCCTTTTTTTGCCTTAGGAACTCTGCTAAACTATAGAGCTCTCAAAAGTCCCTCCTCTAGGGTAAAACCAAGGGCAATAGTTCCTTAGACTATATCCTTATTCCCAAAATTCTATCAAGGATGATGGAAGTTTAAGAGAAGTTTCACTTCATAAAATGAAAGCTTAAAGTCAGTCTTTTTTTCCAAAAGCTTGGCAAGAGACCTAACTAGGCAAAGGTATTTGGATGGCATGCAAGAATGAAAGTGAAAGGAGGACAGCAAACAGATGAAAGATGGAATAGATCAGAAAATTATTTTTATTGCAAACTCCTTTCACGATTAAGAACAATGGATCTCCTATCCTTGTACTCAAATATTCCAGTTCTCAATGTGCTTATAAAAGAGGTAGAAATGTCACTGAAGACACAAAAACATGAAAAATGAATAGAGTAGATCAAGTTACCCAGAGAAGCTATGGTTCATGCATTTTTTTGCATTATCTAATTTGAGCCTCACAATCATTAACTCCTCAGTTGGTAATACAAATATTATTATCTCTCTTTTCTAGATAAGGAAACTGTCATTCTAACATGCAAGATGACTTGTCCAAATTGAATGAGTCAGTGTCTGCAGTGGATGCACAGCCAGTTCTCCTCTTTCTGAGTCCAATTTCCTTTCTATTACACAGTGTACAAGGTCCAGAGAACTGGACTATAAAGCTGGAATTATAAGCCATCTCTCAGTGGGAGTTAATATGGAATAAAGGCTGTCTTCCAGATATGGACCTTAACTCTCAGTGGACCAAGATACTAACAAGTTGAGGTTCTTTGTTCTAATTAAAGCTGTATATCACTTTGCATGATAGTAATGTAAGAAGACCAAATCCAGGCCCCTGGTTTATGATAGGATATTGGGCATATTTTAGTTATTTCCCCATCACCTAAAGAATAAAGTATAAACTCCAGGTTCTGGCATTCAATATCCTTCACCATTGGGCTCCAACCTCCTTTTCCAACTTATCTGAAACTATTCCCTCTCATCTCCTCTACATCTTGGCAGAAATGTATTATTCTCCATCTTCTCATCCTCTTCTGACCTATTCTATCTGTCGTACTTTGCATGGGTTCTTCACCTTTTTTCTCCTCCCCTTTCACTACCACCACATACCTAGGTTTCTTATAGTCCTTCTCTTCCTTCAAAAATTAATTCACTTCTTTCATGAAGCCTTTCTTGACTTTCCCTGGCTTTTCCTCCCCAGACTTCACATGCCAGTGATGTTTGCCTTTTCACATTTCTGATAACATCTTGATATGAGTGCAAAGAGGAAATATAAATTATTCTAGCATCATAATTTGTGTAAATGACTTTCTCCCTAGTAGACTGTAGGTTTCTTGAAAGCAAGGTCATTGTCAAATTTTTGTATTCTAAAGAGTTTGCCATAGGGCTAACATAATAGACATTTAGTACAAGGCCTATCCATAAGAAACTTTTCTCACTTTCTATCAATTTTAGTGCTCTGTCCAGATTTCAAGAACTTTCTTTCCCTCTTGAATCTTTATTGGTTAGGAATAGGTTGATTTTGAAGCTGCCAAAACTTAACAAGCCTACATAGCCATGAAAAGAGCATGGATTCGATGCATTTAGACAATTAACTATGAGAACTGGCTTTGTTTAGTTAAGAACAAAAGATTGACAGGGAACATGAAAGCTGTCTTCAATACTAAAAAGGCTGTCATATGACTAATCAGACCTGTTCTTTTTTGGCCTTAGTGGGCAGAAACAAGGGCAATGAGTGAAAGACTGAAAAGCGAAATTTAGGCTTGATGTTAAAAAAAAATTTTTTTAAACTTCCTAAAAATAAGAGCTGACCAAAAATAAAATAGTCAGCCTCTAGAGGTGATATGTTCCTCCTCACTGAGATCTTCAAGCTGACGTATGAGGCCATTTGTCCTGTATGACAGATATGGGATTCTTTTCACATATGGTTGGACCAGATAACTGCAGAGGTCCCTTCCCGCTCCAAAATTCTGCCCATGATCTGATTATATGACTCCGGGTAAAATTTTTATCCCAAGAGGCAGCTAGGTGTCACAGTAGATAGAACTCTGGCCTTGGTGTCAAGAGGACCTGAGTTCAAATCCAGCTCCAGACACTTGACATTTACTAGCTGTGTGGCTCTAGGCAAGTCACTTAACCCCAATTGCCTCAACAACAGCAACAACAAAAAAAAAAGATTTTTATCCCATAGCAAAGGGAAAGGAAGAACAGAAAATACGTCAAGTGTGTTCTGAGTTTCTGCTCCTACCAAATTGGGAAGACTCCTTACTGCCACCTCTGTCCCCTCCCAAAAGCCTTGTGCACTTTTCCCTGAGACTAGAGAGATCTGTTCTGTGGACCCTATCAAATCCTTTAGATGTGTGACAGGTCAATATCTAAGAATATGAAAACATTTCCTTACTGACCTCTGCATTAGGGTCCACTTCAGCCATCTTTCTCACAAACTTTGGATATTCAACTGGGGTGCTACCACACATCTCCAAAAAGAAAGGAGGACTTGTTACTTAGAGTTTTGTATGAAGTTGGGACTCAGATGTGATCTCAGTGATTAAATATGGAGACCAAAGGTCAAAGAAAAGAATGAGGTAGTCTTCTGGCATTAATGACCCCGAGCCTATTTCATGCAATAGTAGCATCAATAATTCTTTTGTACTATATACTTTAACTGCCTATAGCCTTTGACCCAGCAATACCACTCCTAGGTCTGTTTTCCAAGATGATTAAGGAAAAAGGAAAAGAACCTATATGTTCTAAAATATTTATAGCAGCTCTCTTTATGGTAACAAAAAACTGAAAATTATGGGGATGCCTGTCAATTGGGGAATGGCTGAAGAAGTTATAGTATATGATTGTGATGGTATGCTACTGTGCTATAAGAAATGAAGAGCTTGATGATCATAGGAAGAAAAAAACATGGATAGACTTATACGAAATAAGGAAGAGTGAAATGAGCAGAACCAAGAGAACATTGAATACAGTAACGACAATACTGTTTTAAGAACAACTTTGAGTGACTAAGTCATTTTGACTACTATAAATACCCAAATTAACTACAAAGGACATATGAAAGAAGACACTATCTGCATCCAGAGAAGAAACTGATAAATAGAAGTATGCATAGAATGGTTTTACATACATACTTATATACATATATACATGTACACACACACACATATGCATATGTATTTGTGCTTAATGGTATTCATCTCTAGAATGCAGGTAGGGAAGGGAAGAAAAAAAGGAAAAAATACATAATTTTATTATATATTTAATAGGAATAGCAAGTGTGCATAAATGATTTGTAGTTTTTCATAGAATCATATTTTTTTCCTATTCTACTATGTTATAGAAATGCCTGCTTTATTTCTTAAGTTCAAAATAAAATAAATAACATTTTAAAAAAATAAGCAAGTAACTGCTCCACAATGCATAGTCTTAAAGAACTTTCTGTTCCAGTGCCTTCCCTCTGTAAATTATATCCTACTTATCCTCTATATAGTTTGTTTTGTATATATTTGTTGGCATGTTTTCTCCTCCAATGGACTGTAAATTCCTTGAGGGGAGGGATTGTCTTTTGCCTCTTTTTGTGCCCCCAGAGCTTAGCACAATGCCTAGTATATAATAGGCTTTTAATAAAAGTTCATTGCTTGCTAGAATTGTCTAGGGCAAAGAGGGCTTAGGGGATGCCTTATTATGCCAAAAGTTTAAATTGAACCCAGAGCTCCCTGACTCTAAAACAGAATCATTATCTAGGATGACAGGTGTATCTCTTAAAGGCCTAAACTAATAACCAGTTTGTATTTGTTTGTCTGCATAAATGTTTTACCCAAGTAAATAGAATGGAAGGGTCATCATCCATATCTTGCCTTTCTAAGACAATGGAGGCTT